GTTGGTCTGCTTCCTAGTTAGGGGAAAGTCTTCTTGCCAGGTGTGTGCAACGTGCGGTGGCGATCACCGCACCAAGGCCGGCCACATGCCCCCTCCAAGTCTCTAAGTCTCGAAGTCACGGAGCGCGCGAAACGGTGTCGTCCACGAGTTGCCATGCAGATGGTTAGAGTGTTGTGGGTCTCACATTCCGCTCCCATAAACTACAGTAGCGACGTAGTGCCCGTCCCAAAAGAACATATCCATGCGCAAGCCTTCTACAAGAGTACGGTAGCAGTGCAGACGGAAGAGGCTGCAGGGCACCGGGACATGATCCTTTGCTCGCTTGCAGGAGTGCCCCCATGCCACAGGAATCCTTGGCGTGGGTGTGCAGCTCGGGATGCAGATGGGTTTGCAGGCCAGGGGCCCGGCAAGAACAGAAACGAAGAGAAAGAGAAGACAGAGAAGACAGAGAAGAAGAAGAAGGTGCGAAGGTGCCATGTTTTTCGTCTTTCTTGCGGCGGCGCGGTTGAGCCTGCCCGAGGCCATGGGGCTCCCGACCGGGCCATCATCTGGCGGGATGGGCCCAGCCGGCTTCGGGATGCCGCCGCATCTGCCGCATCCGCATCCGGGGATGCCCCACCCCATGGGCATGATGGGTCCCCCAATGGGTCCCCCAATGGGCCCCCCGATGGGCCGGGAGCTGAGCCGCTCCGGCGGAGGCCGCGGAGCGTCTCAATGAGACAGCAGCCCTGGCTGACCTCACCTTCTCAGGCCCAGGGATGCCGATGGGAGGCTGCGGACGCGGTCAGAGCCACAGCGCCACAGTTCTCGCGTCTTTGTGAGGTCCGCCCGGCCTCCCTGGCATGCCCGGCATGCCGCTGCTACCAGCCCGTGGCCCAAGAAGAGCACAGCACCAGACGTTTGGGGGAGCCAAGCCTCAGCCTCGCGCTGGTCAGGGCATGCGGCCACCGGGCTTCCGAGACCGGAGCGAGAGCTCCAGCCGACGTGCTGGGTCCTTATAGAAGGGCCTTAAGGCCTGAAGAGTCGAGGCCCTTTTTAGGACACCGCGATGGCGATGCGCCTTTGAGGCTTTGATTCAACTTAGCGTGCTGTGAAGAAACCGCCAAGCAAAGGCTTCTTCGTCCAGCTCTGATGGGTCAGGCCCGGCATGGTGTCATGACGAAAGCCTGGAGAGAGCGGGCAGAGCGCAGTGCGTTTGGCGCTGCGGCTTGTGGCAGACAGCGAGAACGAGGAGGAGGAGGCGGCCGTTCGGGCAGGCGCCGCCCCGGGCACCTTTTCGCAGAGCAGAGGCAGAGGCGCAGAGCCCTGAAAAAACTCACCGGTTTTCTTCTCTCGGAGGTTCTCCGGTGACCCGGGTTGCGCCAGCGCCGGAGCGGTGCGGACCCTCGGCCTCGGGGCGCGTAGGGGAACTGCAGAGACTGCAGACCCCGCGTGAGCCGTGGGGGCGCAGAGAAAAAGCGAGGCCTCGGCGACGGGTGCGGAAGCGTAAGGCCCTGGCCGGTGCGGGGAACCTCCGCGGCGGAGGCCGGAGCCGGAGCCGGAGAGAGAGACGTCTGAGACGACCGAGTGTGGTCGCAGGCGCGCACCCGCCAGCCTTGCCTGCGGCTCCGGCAGAAGGCCCTCCGAGCTTGAACGGCGGGCCGCCGCTGGAGCACCGGCGCCGGCGCCGAAGAAAGCGGCTGGAAGGCGCGAGGGGGAGGGGAGCCGCGCCGCCGTCCGAACGTCGCAGCGCCCCTTCGTCCAGGCGAGCCGGACCTGTCCGCCCCTTGATGTTCGCTTCTTCCCTGCTCTTGCGAGCTCCAAACTCGGATTTCGAGGCCAGCTCCGGAGCAGGAAGGCCGGGCCCCCACTTCACTGTAGCCCCGCTCCGCTCCCGCTCCCGCTCATGGCTATGGCTTGGGGCGCAGTCTCTTGGTGCTTTGTTTCTGGCAGCTCCCGTCCGACGACGTCGAGTCGAGGGGCGCTCAGGCGGGGTCCTTTCAATGCCAACAGGAGACCCGATAGCACGCTGCACAGGAGAAGAGGTCCAACTGTATCCTTCGGGAAAGGCCGGGAGAGTTGCTGCTTGGTGCCGTCGCAGCTTCAGGGCTGCTCTGCCTGCCAGAAAAAGATCGTGATGTCCGACCTGTGATGCGCGGATTCGCTGAACGAGTGATCCTGCGGGCCCGTGACGAAGCGTTGGAAACAGGACCTTCGTAGGTTCTTCTGCCGGTTTTTTTTTCGTGATCTTTGTCTGGGGACAGTTGCACACCTCACTGCATTGGGAGTTTTTGGCTCATGCTTGTCGATGCACACTGCGTGGCAGCCCTACAGAAATCACCCTGACTCGAACCTCGGGGGTTGCCCCGCCCACTCACACCCCACACCCCACACCCACCCCACACCCAACCCCGCACCCGATCCCGCACCCAACCCGACCCCACCCCCGAGCCTCAGCCACACTCCACTCCAGCCCTAACCCAGACAGACTCTAGAGCATAGCTGCAGAGACTTAGATCGCTGCCGCGCCAGCCTGGCACCTGGACGCCCAGCCCGCGCCGCGCCTTCAGAAGTCCAACACTTCAAATCCATTCGCATAGCTTCGAGCGGTGTTAGCTCGTCCTTTTCGAGGCAAGATGGGGAGTCTCACCGAGCTGCTGCTGGCGACTTTAGCTGCTTGCTCGCACCCTTGCGCACGCAGATCGTGTGGTCTTCTGTCTCTTTCGCCAACAAAGGACCCGTCCAAGAATGCCCAAGCAGAAGCGCAGATTCGACAGGCCAAGACTGCAGCCCGCAACTGCGCTGTGCCGCGGTGTCCGAGCGGTGCACGTGATGGCAGTGACTGATAGTGCTCATAGCTCAGTGAAGCTGCGTGAAGCGTGATCAGGCTGAACAGGCCAGCGTCGACCAGCGCGCAGCCTGGAGAGAGAGGGAGAGTAGCGACTGAGAAGACACGACGAGCTCAGTTTGCACAGTTTGCTTTTCAGCTACGTCGTGTAGGGGACTGCGTGATGTCGATGTTGATCAAATTTGATCAAACGGATCAAATGTTGTCCAGGTACTTCACAGCCCTTGCACAGGACCTGCACGTGCATTAGGCGCAAGCATGTCTTTCCCCATATCGTAGACGGGCTTCACTTGTCAGGAGCTGGCAAACACGGAGAAGCCTGTCGTTGCTCGGCAGCTTGCAGGAGCACCGGCAGCACCGTCCTGCCGCAAATTGCCGCCGCAATCCGCCGCAAACGTGTGCCGCAAAGCCCCGCCATCCTGGCGCAGGACTTCTCCTGAAGAACGCCCTTGCTTCCAAGGCGCCGCCCCGTCCCCGTCCTCCGACCCCTTCGGCGCCACAGAGCGGCTCGGCAGCCGAGCCGAGCTGCGCCGCAGGATCCCGCGAAAGATCGCGACCTGAAAGCGAGATGGGCGAACCTGCTCGGGACTGAAACGGACTCGAATCTGTGCAGCTTCCGCGTCCGTCGCGTGCTGTGACTCGAAAAGAGGCCGGCCGCGAGCCGGAACTTGGTCAAGGAGGCGCCCTGAAGTTCCTTTTCTGTTTGCACTCCCGCCCCCGCGAGCCCCGAACCCCGTGGCGTTGGCTAAGAGGCCACCACCTCCGCGCTCATCAGCCCGCAAACGGATGTGGGCAAGGCGTCGGCGCAGGCCAGTGTCGTTGCGTGACGTCTTGCGAGTGAGTCTATGCGAGCCGTGCAGCTCGTGGGAATGATCATTGAAGCTTGGGCGCCCTGTGAGGTCTTGGCCAAGATAGGGGCCATCGAGATTCCCTTGGTACAGTGGCCTGGCCTCGTGCGCACATCCCGACTGCAGACCTGTTTGATTGCACCAAGATGGTGCATCTTCCCGACCCCTGACCCACCTTGTGGCTTCAGAAACCTGCTGCCGCGCAATCATCATGTGCGCGACACAATCAAGCTGTGATCTCTTCGTTCGCCACAAAGCGTGGCTTTGCCCACGGACTCGCGGCTGAAAGTTTTTTCGAGAACTCTGCGAGCTCTCCGAGAATTTTCGGCATCTTCCTTGGAAATAGCTGAACATAGGTTGTCTTGTCCGGAGAGGAAGCTGTTAACTGGTTCCGGATTCTCGTGAGCACCTGCCACGCTTGAGATTCGAAACTGTCGTCGGGATCTGTTCCAAAACATGTTTGTAAGGGTGTTTAAACCAGTTGGATACTGGTTCTGAGCTTGAATGTGTATCGCGCCTTCTCTAAAACTCTAAGCCTTGGATATTTGCTGCATCCCATCGCTAGATTTTTCGCAGTCACCCTGGAACTCCTTGTCCTCTGAGCCGTTGGGCCTAAAGGGCCTAAACCATCTGCGTGGCAAGCGCCATCCTTACTCAGGTGCTGTCCGCAATAAATGCACACCTCAGGTCTTAAGTCTTATCAAGGCTCCAGGCTATCAATGCTACCAAGAAACCATCAGATGACGCCACTCCTACTCTGAACCACGCCACCCCGATCCCTTCTGAAACTTTCGAAGCGACTCTCCGGACCAAGACACGGCCCGAGGTTCCAGAGGTCCGGGGAGGTCGGCTCAAAGCGACTCTAACTTTGGTGGCCGCGCTTGCCTGCTCTGTACATGCGCAGTATGCGACAGATGATTTCACAGTGTGCAAAATAGCACTTGCGGGCCATGTTTGCACGGTGGTCCGAAAACTCAACTCGTAATCTTGCAGCGGTCTGGAGTCCAATCAGGGGGCCCTAGGGGGCCATCAGGGTTATTAAGAATGTCTCTTATGAAGCAACGAGATTCGAACCACATAGCATAGTCTATGCCTTTGCGGCCAGTGTGTGTGTGTGTGTCCTCAACACTTCATCGCCCTTGTGCATTGCGCCACATCGGCGATGCCTCACCTTCCATCTCTTTGCATCTAAGTCGCTGCATCGTCAGGTACCGCTTTTGCTGGGCCATGTGACCAATACCGACGTCAGAGCCAGACAGGCAAAGCATGGCAAATCCGGAGAATCACAAGATGCTGCCATTGTCAGAGTGTCCCCAACAGGCAACGCACCTTCCTAAAGAAACCTGATCCTGATTGCGTCCTCGTCCCGGCGCTGCCAGATCTCACTGGTGTGCTTGGGCTACTTGTGCGAAGACCTGGTGATCGTGCAGGAGGAGCGCGAGCGCGAGCTTGAGTCCCTGCCCGTAGCTGGTGTGCGCCGGCGAAGAGGGGTGCACGCCCTTCTGCAGGAGGGGACCAATATCGGGGATGATATTGCCAACAACATCCTCACGGCTGCCACGGGCTGAGAGAGAGAGAGAGAGAGCGGCGAGAGGGGTGGAAGCGAGTGGAAGCCTGCGCCTGCGCGGGCCGCCCTTTGCTGCCTGGGTCCGTCTCCCCTCTGCCCCAGTCCGCTTTCTTCTCATTCTCTCAGGTTGTTCAGGGAATGCGGGACACCGAGCCGCAGACGAAGCTGGAGGCCTCCAGCGCACCGCCCAAGCCGCAGGAGTCGCAGGAGTCGCACGCGAGGCTCGTTCGCCCTGAGATGCGCCAGGCGACTCGAGCATTTTATCACGCGGTGGTTCTGGCGAAAAAGCGGGGTCCCGACGATTCGCCGCTTGCCTGCATGCTTTATGCTTGCGCCTTGCGCTTCTCCCGAGGAACTTCAAGAACCAAGTCGAGCGCGACGTGATTATGGGCGTCCTCCCGGCAGAATTTTCTTTGTGCTTCATTAGGAAACGGTGGACAGTGTTTGCGGTAGACCACAAGTCGCTGCAACTACCGCCATCGTGTCGTGGTGGATTGGTGGGTTGGTGCAGTGCTGTAGAGCATGCGCATCGCGTGACGTGTAGCAGTGTAGCAGAAAACATTGGTGACTTTCTAGAGGACATGAGTGGAAGTTAGAATCGGCGAAGGTTGACCCGGCTCTTGTCTTGTACAGGTCGTGAATGAAACCTGCCGCTGCAACACGGCGCCCGAAGTGAGGTCCTCGAGGTCGTTGCTTTCTCTGCTCGGCTCGTGTCGTCGCGTTTTTTCCCAGGTCCAGATCGCAGCCTTTGAGTGCCTCGTGCAGATTGCCACGGAGTGACCTGCGTTGCTCTCGTGCTTGCTGATGCGTTTGAAGGGTTTCAGCGACTGGTAGCTGGATGGCTTGAGGTACTACGACTTCCTCATGCCGTGCTCCTCCTAGAACCTGCGGAGTTGAAAATGACCCTTCCTTTCTTGCTCGCAGGTACATGAATGGCTTGGGCCCTTTGACGTGGGAAACCATTAAGTCATCTCCAGAAAAGGCAGAGGCCTTAGACTGCCTTAGAAGGCGGCAAGGCGGCTAGGTGGCAAGCAAACCCCACTGCATCCTGCCCGAGGTAGCGATTCCAGCTATGGAGTTCTGGTCCACCATCTGCGATGAGGACTCTTTCTGTCTTCGGCGAGCTCGTGAGTCGATTTTCTGGCGCCGCAGCCGCGGAAAGGAGCTCTACCTCATGGATTTGGTAGAGGCAGGCCAAGCGGGTGGCCGTGCTTCCTTGAACCTCATCCAGCAGGCGGCAAAGGGAAGGGTAGGGCCGTAGGGTAGAGTCGGGTAGAGTCTCAGAGTGTCCAACTGTGCAAAAATTCGTAACAACACTCTCATCTTCTAACTTCTCAGTGCGCATTACACGGGCGAACCCCCTTTCGAAGCAAAGTAGATTCGAAAAATGCACAGTGCCGCAGGCCCCACAACAACTCCCCAAGACAAATGTTCCTGCGGGGACAAGGCGGTTGTCACCAACGTGTTTCCTCTCCAGGCCCTGAGCTTCCTGGTGCCGCTCCTGACCGAGCTGGTGCCCAAGAACCGGCTCCCCCGCAGCTCTGCCTCCCTGTTACTTCCTCCAACTCCCTGTCCCTCCTTGCCGTCTCCAGGACGCTGACCAAGCGCCAGAGCGAGGACGACGACGACACCTGGAACCTGGCTATGGCCGCAGGCCGCGCTGGGCGCTTCTCGGGCCCCCCTCCTCCCAAACCACATCCTCCCGCTCCCTCCCTTTCTGTATTTCTTTCTTTGTTTCCCTCTTGCCTGCAACTGCGTGCGTCGGGTTCAGGCACCTGCTTGGCGCTGGTAGCACAGGTCGGGGCTGCTCGGCCCACGCACGCGCTTGTCTAACTGTTTGCAGCCTTCGGCAGGTTGTCAGGGATGGCTGCGTAGACCTGGTGCTGCAGTTTGTGCACACCAACTTCCAGAATCCCGATTGGAAGCTCCTTGGAACTGATACCTTAAGTGACTTAAGTTTACAGTGGACAGTACACTCAGTGTTTCATCGAAGCATGCAGCAGGTTTAGAGAAGCGGCGGTCTTGGCATACGGCTCCATCATGGAGGCCTGGGGTCATTTCAGGCTCGCTTTGCAGAAAAGACCTGCATCGAAACAGGGACCGACCAGCGAGAAGATGAGACCGATGGTCGAGCAGAGCCTCAGCCACCTGGCGGTGGCCCCAAAAATTGCGCCCTCTGCGTCTTTGGAGTTCACGTCTTAACTCAGCCTCTTTCAGGTCCTCGCTCTGCAGGATCAGAGTGTCGCGGTTCGCTTGGGCCCATGGAGCTTCCGAGGGGGGTGCTGGTAACTATAGTTGAATAGTGCTTCGTCTTCCGACTGTTGCTCTGCGCTCCTGCAGGCGACACCATCGCTTGGACCCTGGGCCGTATTGCCCAGCCGGGGCCTCTGTCGGGATCTTGATTGTTTTCTGGCGTTGCTTTGGTTTTGTTGGCAGGTTCCATCCCACCATAGTTCCAGTCAAGCAGCTCATGCCGCTCCTCTGTGAGAGGCTTTCCCTGCCATTCCCTGCCATCTGCGCCATCTGCGCCATGTTCCGTGCTCCGGTGTCTCTGTGCAGGCTGCGGGATGTCCCGCGGGTCTCTGCCAACATCTGCTGGAACGTGCAGGCCGGACTGAACTGAAGTGCCGTGCCGAGCCCACGGCACAGGAGCCAAGTTGCCAAGGCTTTGCGCAGAGTGTCGAAAGTTCAGAGATCCCAGCCCAGCCTTGACGCCAGCCGGTGCTCAAAGATGTAGGACGTAGAGACGTAGAGGATGGAGGTGCCGATCGCTTGCCGCGATGGGATGAGAGAAGCCGGCCTGCCGCGATGATCCCTCCGCCCCCATTGCTGGGAGGCAAACCTTTCGCCCATGCCCAAGGTTTCTCACGCGAAGCGCCGACGAAGGAGAAGGAGGGCCCCGCGCTGAAGCCGCCGAAGCCGCCGAAGCCGCCCAGCGACAGCTCCTGGGAGACTTCAGGGACCTGCACACCGAGCAATCCGAGCGTGAGCGTGACGAGCGAGAGTTGGAGCTCCATAGAACAGAGCTCCAAGAGCAGGAGCTTGGCCTCGTCTTCCGTCCCTCCAAAGAAGCCCAAAGTGAGATACTACAGCCGCCAGGGGCAAGAGCGCCTGCTTCGTCGAGCCCAGGCTCTCTTCTGCCGCAGCTGGACGCTTGGGCTTGCAGCTTTGCTCGGGACGGTGGGCGTGGTCCTTGTGGCTCGGCTGCCATGACAAAAGCATGAAAGAAGCATGAAAGAAGCATGAGAGAAGCATAGGAATCGGAAACACCTGGGCAAGACCCGAAGCAGAAAGGAGGTTGCTCAAAGATATGAGAAGGTGCTCGAGTCCGAAACACTGAGGTCTTCGTGGGACTGGTTGATCTGCTGATGCTGTCGTCGGTGGCGCAGGGCGTGTGTGTGTTGGCCGGCTTCGAGTACCCAGACGGGTATCCAGACGAAGAGAGGGGGCCAAATCAGACGTTCTCCTTGCACCCATGCCCCACCACTCCAAACTGTCTGTTTCAGGTGGATGTCAGGCTACCCACGGAGCTTCGACGAGCGCGCTTCTTTCAGCCCCCCTTCGAGATCCCAAACCACGCAACGTCGGGCGAGGCTTACACCGAGCTGCCGCTTCCTGGCGGCCTCAGCTGCTGCCCTTACACCCCCAAGGACTGCTGCGACTGGTACAACACGCAGACGCGGCTCTTCTGTGACTCCGGCGATGCCGAGCTTAAGGCGGCGGGCGTCGGCGGCGTCGGCTGCTCCAACTTGACGTCCACTCCCTGGCCGTGCTTTCTTCGCGAGCTTGCACCCCCTCCGGCATCCAGCGACTTTTTTCTGTCGCAGTTCCAGCTCGATGGGGGGCATTTGGAGGTCGGCAGCAAGTGGCGCTCGGCGTTTCTGGTGCTGGAGGGCTCCCTGTTCGCTTTGGCAGGGCTCTGCCTGCACACCTTCTTCGTGAGGCCTTCGGTCCGGCAAAGGGTGGACGCCTTCTGCGCGCACGCGCTGCGGCGCCTGGAGAGGCGCGTGAACGGTGCGTTGCTGGCGCTGGTGACCCGGCTGCCCCGGTGGCTGCGCGGCGAGGCGGCCAAGGAGCTCCTGTGGGAAAGCGAGGCGGCGACGACGTTGCAGCGGGCCTGGCGAAGAAGGCGGCGCAGGCTCGAGCGGCTCTCCATGGCCGAGGCCGTGGCCCTGGCCATGGAGCGCAGGACCTCTCTGCTTCCATTGCTGGCGGGCCCGGGGGGGTGTGGCTGTTCCCCGGTTTTGGCCCGACAGGGAGAGAGGTCTCTGCTGCTGCGCAGGAGCAGCGTCCTGGCCTACCGCGAGGGGCTGCCGTGGCCCCGATCTCGGCTCCCGACTCCCGCAAGTGTCGGATCGCTGAGGCAACTCGCGGGCACGTGCTCATGGAGATCGGTGACTTCCAGTCCCACGTCCCGGGAGGCGCCTGACTGAGAGCCGAGCGCCGTGCCGTTCTCAGTAGCAGGAGTCCTACCCTTCCGAACGGCCCGCGAAGGATCCGGGCCCCGAGGCAAGGAGCCCAGAGATTTCCAGTCGGACCGAGTGACGAGCGCTCTGAGGGGCTGCTGTCGAAGCCGCCGCCCTCGGCCCGGAACAGGCACGGCCCCATTCCAAGAAGAAGGGGAAAGTGTTAGAACTCATAGCAGGAGGCTGCTTTTGGACAGCGGGCGTCGTGCTCAGTGGGAAAGGGGGGGGGCCGGGGCGTTGTCCGGAGCTGTGACCTGCAGCGCAGGAGCCTCCGAGACTTCCGCCGCTTCGTCCGCGTGCGAGCCGGGCACCCAAGCGCACCCAAGAGCAGAGCCGAGCAGCGGTGCACAGCAGAACAGAACAGAGCCAGAGCAGCGAAGTGCGGGGCGTGAGCCGCGCGCCTCGCCTCCTCGCATCTCGCCTCTCGCCTCTCCTCGCGGGGCGTTGTTTTCTGGACTCCGAGGTGGCCAGCTCCCCCTGGGAGCAGCTTCGCCTGGAGGCGCGGAGAAGCCGCGGTCCGCGGTGGCCGCTTGCGCCTGTGCTCGCTTCGGCCCTCAGATGGTCCTGGAGCCGGGGGCGCCCTCCCTGGGCCTCGTGGCCGCTTGGGCGCAGAGCGAGTAAGCGAGAGCGTACTTGGAATCCAGCGCAGCTGACTTTTGGTGTCCTGTGGTTACTGACAGCGGGTTGGCTCTTCGCCTTCGAGGCCCGCGCTGTCCGAACCTCGGGTCCTCCGGAGGCACAGCTGGGCACGGCCGGCACGGCGGAGATGCGCCCCGCGCCGCGCGTGCATGCTGCAGGTGTGCCGGGTGGTGCCCTGCAGTCCTGCGGAGACCTTTGGTGTGAGGCGAGGACCACTCGGCTTTGCTTTTCTTCCATCTCTGCGAATCTGCGACGATGGCGCGCAGGTGTGGCTTCCTCCTGCTCCTGATCGGCCGCAGCTCGGCATGCAAGCGCAAGGATGCCTGGCAGCGCATGACCGCGCATCAGCGCATGCCCGCGCGAGGCATGGAGTGGCCCAGCTTTCCAGCGAAGGAGATGATCGAGGCCCGGGCAACCATGGGGAGGAGGAGCGTGCGCCTTCTGACGTGTGTTGAACGAAGGAGCTCGCCAGCAGCCGGCGTCCGCTCTGCCTCGTCCTGCAGGCGAGAGACCGAGAGATCAGAGGGACAGCGAGCAGAGAGCCTTCGTCTTCGTTGTGTTGTGGCGCGTTTTGTTCGCAGGCTCCCGCGGCCCCCGCGGCCGCGGCGCCCTCGGAGAAGCTCCGAGAGGCGGGCCAAGGTCGGAGCACGGAGGCGCGGGGCCATCTGTGCAGACCTGGCAGCGCGGGGTCTTAAAACGACTACAGACCCATCACCGCCGGCTTTGTAGGAAGCTCCGGCTCTTGCTCGCATGGTTAGAGTCACAGCAGGCGGAGTACCTGACACTGTTTTCGCTATACTCCAACACTCAAAGCACTTGATTGAATGCGCCTTCAGAGAGCGAGTGGAAGGAGAGAGACAGAGAGAGAGTCTTCGCAGACTGTATGGCATGAGCCGTTGGATGCATTATACTCGTTCTTCCACACCCCTTCCTCGATCCTTGCATAACATATGCGGGTGGGCTTGGGCATTCCGGGGGTCTTGATCCCCAAGCCCGAAAGAGAGAGCGAGAGAGAGACTCGGGTCTGTTGTTTTTCCGGAAGGCCCAGCCATGCAGGGCCAGGGGACGACCAAACTGTGTTGTTTGTTGGCCCAGCAGAGAAAAAAGAGACTCGGGAGAGAGAAACATGACAGCCAGAGGCTCGCTCGGCAGAGCAGTGGAAAAGAGGACCCGGTGTGCAAATTTGCACCATTTGGTTTGTTACGGCTTGTTGCCTGTGGCCACTGGGGTGCACCTTTCCTGGAAAATCTGCGCTCGAGCGGAGTAAACGGAGTTAATCATCACCTTTCCGCGCTCGTTTACCAACTGCAGTCCTGAAGCTGCAGGGTGCACCTGCGCCCGCGCAGCGGGGCGGTTGAACCCTTCTTCCTCCAGCCCTGGCGAGAGAGGGAGAGAAGACAGAGGAAGAGTCCCTTGTAAAGTGATGCACGTTGAGCTGAGATCTCGTGTCACGGCTTGCCTCAAACGCTTCCCATGCCCAGGGGAGAGAGAGCGCGTTCGATGACCACTGAAGCCAGACTGCGGCGACCCCCCCAAAAACGTGTTCCTTGCTGTAAGTGGCTTTAGCTGGCTTTAAACAGGGGGGCACACTGCCAGAGTTGAGGTTCAGGCTTGAGAGGAAGGTCGCAGGTGAGTGGTGGGGCTCGGGCTTCCGTTCGGGATACAGGCTGTGAGGTTCGTCGGACAGCAGTAAGGATGTCAACAGGACAGCTTTTGCGAGCCGCAAAATCTTTGCAAGCTTTGTTTGGGGAAGTTCGCGGGATTGCCCAGCAGGCTCCTGACCTTGCATGTTTGCTTGCTTGCGAAGGGCATGGGGCCGCAGTCCCTGTCGGTTGCCCTCCACGTAGGAACTCCTGTCCTTCCCCGTGCTGCTGCTGCCCCCTTAACTGAATACCGATCTACTTCGTTCTCTTGGTTATGTAGCATGCGAACACCGAGCGGGATGCTTCCTGCACATTCATGAATGTGGTTCGTCCCTGTTGCCTACATAATCCTACAGACGTTTCTTAGTCAACGCGTGACGATGTGCCCTCGACAAGCAAAGTGACACTGGCGACAGTTTTTTGTCTTTGACCCCTTGAAAGCCGACGACAAGAAGAAGCAGAAGAACAGAAAGAAGAAGACGAAAGTGGTCGAGAAGAGAGTGCGCAGGCCCGCATCGTCCCTGCCATTTTGCACGGCATGCAAGGCCTTTCCATCCAGGCATGTCTGACCTACAGGTGCCGCCACCCCCGCCTCCATTGCCGCCGCTGCGACCTCCGCTGCAGCCCCCGCTGCCGTTGCAGGCCACTTCGTCCGACGAGCGTTGCCATGTCAAGCGTCTTCAAGCCATGTAATCCAAAAGAAGTTGTGATCACGAGCCGGGGCCTTTGCTCAGCCGTCGTCTGCAGGCTCCAAGCCCAGTGGAGCCCCCACCAGCGCCTGGGCCTTGTTTTGCGGCGTCAAAAGTGGAAAGAGGACCCTGCGGCTGGCAACTGGGCAACTGCAGTGCTGCAGGCTTCACCCGCCGGGCTCCGTTGATCTGCGTGTTTCAGACGCCGTCGCGGTCTCGTCGCGTCACTCACCGGTGCCCTACAGGCCGGAAAAAACAGCGCTGCACGGGCGCTCCAAAGTTGCCAACTTTCAACCCCACAGGTGCGAGGGTCGCAGCGAGCGGCGCTTCCCCGAAGCGGCCAGGCCGAGCGCCGAGAGCGCCGCGCCCTCCACCGTTTTTTTTGGCCCTTGCTGGGAGGTCGCGGCCGAAGAGCGCCGACGCGTCCTCCATGAGACTGCCGGGGGACCCAAAGGGTTCTTCTGGTCTGGACATGTTTGGGCATCTTTACGCATTCTTATAGCCCCTTTTGGCAGGCAGGAGCGGCGACGGATGGAGGTGCAGGTGCTGTGCCTCGGGGAAAGAAGAGGCCAGGTGCAGGAGCCAAGGCGCAGCGTGACTCCCGCACTTCGGCCTCGCCGCGGCCTCGTCCGCTTTTGAGACAGAGCGCAGCAGCGGCGGCAGCGCCGCATGGCCCAGGCCACGCGGCTCGTGCGTGCCGCGCCACGGGCGACCGTGCGAGCGCACGAGCAGTGGGGCGCATCAGGCGCTGCATGCAGGGTTTACCTGTCTCGACTGAGCACAAGGGCTTGTCCGAGCTGCTCTGGGAATGCACAGGCCGTCTTCGGCTGCCCCCACTCTGGGTGCCTTGCCTCCATGGCATTCGTTGAGCTGCGTTGCCTGTGAGCTCGATGCTGCAGGTGTACAAGCACAGGGCCCCAAGGTGAAGACTCAGACTGCGGTCCAAAGGCCCGACAGAGCGTGACTCAGTTTTTGGCATCGGACCGCGGAGCTTTGGCTGCAGGCCGGCCTCGGCGTCCCCGGCACTGGCATCCCGTCGTTCCAGTGGAGGCGGAGCCTGCGCTGTGCCTGCGATCGCGCGGCCTGAGCTGTGACCTAAGCTCGCATGTTTGTTGCCAGGCCTTCGACCCGTCTCCGCCAAAGGGGCCTTCCCTTCCCCGCGAGGAAGTGGACACTAAGGCCCCGCGGCTGCTGTCTTCTCACTCGCCGCTCTCAAGCTCTCTCGACTCAAGCTCTGTCTCAAGCTCTCTCGGTCTCTCTCTGGTCCACGCTTGCACGCCCGAAGTCATCAGGCCGGCTTCGGCTCTCGTCGCCCGGCAGCGCGAGGCTGCATCCCTCCCGTCATCTCTCGTAGAACCTGGAGCCCAAAAAGGGCCCAGCTCGTCGTCAAACCGGGCCTAAAACAGGCTCGAGGGTGTACATAGAGCACAAGGCAGGGCAGCCCATGGCCCTACAGCCGAGAGTCCCAGCAAAACCGGCAATCTCCTGTTATCCCGTGATCGAATCGGGTCGGCCGGGTCGGCTTGGCGAAAAGAGACTCGCTCGCAGGTCCCGAAGGCTCTGACAAGAACCACGCGTGGTGTTTCACTTGTGGACTTGTGGAGGTTCTTGCTGAGGCACAGACCGGGGGCATCGCAGGGCAGGACAGAAGGGCAGAACAGAGAGCAGAGAACAGCCCATTTTTGAGCGCGTCTGCTGCTCCCGTCTTCTTGCTCTGTCTTGTGCTCGCAGTACCCCGACGCGACTCCGTTGTCCGAGTTTTTCACCGCGATCGCCACGGCGCTCTTGGAGGCTCAGAGACGGGGGGCATACCGAGCCACTCCAGACATCTGCAGACATCTGCACCTCCGCACTCCCAGCCGGCCCGGCCTGCTGCGGCGTGTCAGGTGGTCGCGAGACCCGATGCGGACGAGCGTCAGCTACGCATGGCGGGGTGCGGGAGCTCAGCCTTCGTCTATAGGACTCCCGCTGGTTTGGAGTCCAGAGGCAGCCAGACTTCCCTTGTTCAAGATATCACGTCTCCTCGTGAGAGAAGGATGCATGCTGTTGCCTTCATCACGCTGTCGCTCGGGGGCGCTTAAGACCCCTGCAACAGATCCTGTACAAGGCAAGACAGTAGGGTTCCAGGTGACAGATGCAGAAAGACTCGGCAACCCGAAACTTTCCCCATCGAATATGGCTTGGTTGGCTAATCCAGGGCATTGGGGCCCACAGCATTTCGCAACGACAACTTCAACTGTTGGCTCTTCAAACAGCGCCTGATCAAGTGGCTATGAAGTGGGACAGTGGCACAGAGAAGGAGCTTTCGTCAATCACACACCCAGAGTGTGCTCTTCCAGGTACAATGCTCTCAGCGTCCTCGTCAGCAAGGCAGGCAACGACTGCTTGCCCCACATGCAGGCCTTGACGCAGGAGCTCTGCTCTCCCAATGCCTGTTTCATATTGCGTGAAGGGACATGTTGTTTACAGTGGTCACTCCCGTTCGTACAGTAAGACGCAAGTACACATGAGTGTGTTGTGGTTGCAGGGCTCGAATAGCCCCCAAGGAGGGGAAGATCTTGCCCCAGGCGCCCTCCTTTCAGGTCGCGCCGCCATAGTGCTTCATCCGTGGAGCCCAAACTGGCATCGCCGACTCAGACAAAAGAGGTCGGCCACTCGCAGCCGTCTGAGGCGCGGTGCTGCAGTTATTCCCAGAAAGCTGGCGGCTCTCGTGAGTCATCACGGCTCTGGTTTTCCCCGCGCCCCCTCAGCGCGTATGGGAAGAGGAAAGAACCCGAAGAAGAACCAGCAACAGACCGCCCAGCAGTCATGGGGAAGTGCAGATGGTGGTCCCTGGCGTATCTGGCATGGGGCGTATTCTCCACAGGCGCCAAGGACTCCCAAAGCCCCATGGCACAGATCGCAGCAAAGGCAGCAGGAGCCAACGATTCCTGGATATACTTCGGTGGTCGTTCGCAGCGACAGCGGCCCATCTCAGATGGAAAGCGGCAATGCAGCGTCGTCTGTGAATGCCCAGCCGGATCGCCTTGTGCCGTCTACACAGACGGCCCTCAATGCGACGAGAAAAGCGGAGAGCCGAGTGATCAAGCTGCAGGCCGCCCGGAAGGAAAGGGCGGACCAGTGGTCTCTGTACGAGAAGAAGCTCAAAGCCACGTACCAGAGAGAGCGCACCCGGTACCAGAAGGACCAAGAGGATCTCTTCAAGGAAATCACCGAGGCGGAAGCAGCTCAAGAGGAGGCTCGGGCGACCCTTCGAGCGGTCGTGGCACATGGCCGAGTGGTTGCCCAACCGGAGGACGTTTCCATGGTGCCGTCTACAGCGGATGCGGTTTTTGCAGAGTGGGCTGCCGAGGACCAGGAGACTGCAGCTGGGGTCTGCGCGCCTTGGCGCAAGGCCTCGCGACCCCGTCCAGGACGACGCATGTGCCGGCAAGGACGCCGTACAGGGGTGCCAATCTGGCGAGCGCCGCACTAGCCCCTGCCGCAGCGCTGCCCCATTTTGGGATGGACGGCATGGTGTCCGCCGGAGGGATTGGAACTCCCCCAGCAGCAGCCTTCGACCCCTACCAGATGAGCATGCCAAATACAGCCTCGCCGGGAGACACTGGGCCTGCTGGCCTACCAGGGGCGCCGGGCCTTGTTGCCATGGAGAGGAGCGGGTCGCTCCTCGAAGAAGCACCAGCATACGGGCCCAGCCCCTCGCTCCAGGAGAGACTTTCGCGCCGACGTGCTCTCGAACCCTTTGGAGGGCGACTTGCTGCAGATGCACCGATCGAGCCCCCAGCCAACTTGGATGGCGTCTCTCCGAATCCTACCACCTCAGGCAGAAGACGCATCGAGATCGTGGCAGACGATGGCGACGAGCTGGCTACGACAGAAGACGGCATCGGAACAAGCTAGTGGCAGATCCCCCTCACTCAGAGGACGGTAAGGTATGGGGAACCTTCGGGCGCCTATGCCTTTCTGTCTGCTTTGTGAGGTTGGATCTACCGGACGTGCACGCTGTACAGCAAGGTGTACATTTTGGCGTTGTAGGTCTTTGGGTCTTCCCTGTCACACGCAGGTCTTCTGGGTTCCAGCCTGCTCGGGCCCTCACTTGCCGTTTGGATTTTGTCATCCTCGCCTGTGTCGGGCTTCCCATGGATTTCTCACGGATGCCCGGCCCACAGGCCCCGCCAAGCATGCTCCAGGGAATTTTGCCTTCGCCCTGTCGAGCCAGCGCCCGCTGATGTTCTTGGGTTCATCCCTTTCTGCGAGGCCTTACCAGTGTGTTGCAGCAATTTTGTTAGCAGAGCGCAAAACAATTGCATCGGTTGCTCTGGGGCAATGGCCTGCTATTCTGCTGCAACACCATCCGCTGATTCGAGCGACGATGGCCCCACCTTTTCCATAGGCCGGGCATACCAAATGGAGGCACCGTCGTGGATTACGCAACTCCCTGCCCCCTGCAACTCGGATGCCCTCATTGAAGGTATGGCAGAAGGCAGACAGGTGTCTGCCCTTGGCGGATGCCCATGCAACGGCAGGTTGGCTGCTGTCCCCTTCTGGGGTGTCATTCTTGGACTCATTTGGGGTTTGTTGGCTGTCTGCGTCAGACAGCGCGATGACTTGGCAGGAGCCATTCAGTTTTGGCGCAACCTTGTTGAGAGGGGATTGCTGTGCTGTTGGCCCAGTGTCGAGGTTCCTTATGTTCTGAGGAATGCCCACGACGGGGCACGTGCATGTCTGGCCCTGGGCTTGCTTATAGCCGTGCAACTAGGCTGTGCAGCCCCCAACGGAGAATGGATAGAGCAGCAGGCCATCTCTGTGGGATGCATCCTCCAGTGTATTTGCCTGCGCTTTCTCTGCCTCATGCTATGCCGAAAGACCGCGTCTTCAGGTGCCCATGGCCTCACCATAGGCAGGTGCACCCTTTTCAGGCGCGATCTGCTTAGAACTTGTGCACGGAGGACACGGGGCAACCATGATCGGGAACTGAATGTGAGCCCGTTGACACGCGGGCCCGTTGATGGACCCAGCCGTTTCCATCCGCACGTGCCTTCTCACGCGGGGAAAAGGTACTTCCGTACTGTTGGCCTTCTTGTGTTCGGGTTCTCATGTTTGCCCACTGCGGTTTCCAGCCCTGCCCAGTGGACGCAGCTTGCCCCTTGGCTTGCGGTCGCTTACCTGCCCGACCCGGGCATAGCCATGACGGCGCCCGGATCAACCGAAGAGCCGAACAGCGGCACCACACCGCGACCTCGTCGCCCACACGACATACCTGTCGAGGAGTTAGTCACGTACACGGGTCCAGCCTGCGAGCAGCCTGGTGTGCAGCCCCTGCTGATTGCAGACAGATATGCCGATGTGCCCTGGCTGTGTGCCTTCGAAGACGCTTTCCACGTGCCACCTACGGTGCAACTTTCAGCCCAGGAGGATCAAGAACCAGACCGATGGTTTAGTGGTGTCGTGTACACGCCTTATGTGAGGCCTGTGCCAATAGCGATTCGCTGCAAGCCATACCATGGCCTGCAGCACTGCCTTGACATCATCACCGACGGTGCGCCTGGTGTCGACCCTTACACCTATAACATGTGTGTTCCTACAAGGCCACAAAGGTTCCCAGGTGTAGGCTCGTTTTTGCGGTTTCCGAGCTCCGCTCGGGGCGGCGAAGGCCACCCGCTTGCAGCAGTCCTTCTCGACCTGACAAGGACGGGAGGCAAATATTACGCATGCTACCTCCCTCGGAGGCTGCCATATGCCGAAGCCCTCCAATTTATCTTGCCACAGACTGCAGATGGTGTTGAGCCAGAAATCTTCATTGGTAACAGTGTTCGGCCGCTGGTACCTGGAAATGATTTGCCTCTCTGCGATGGTGACGTCATTTGTGTGCTATGCAGAGGACGCCCCCGGCCAGTTGAGTGCACAGCTGAAGAAACCATCGCCAACCGCGAGCGGTGGAACCACCCATGCCAGCTCCCGCGCTTAACACAGGAGGAAGGGGTGCTGTTGCAATTTGAGTCTCAACAGGTTTTCGTCCCAAGGCATCACCACTATGGCAATACTGTGCTTGAAGCTGCCGCGGAGATTTTTCGGCGCCCTGTGGATGCCTTAACTTCCTGTGCCTTTCGAACACCAGACCTGGAGCTCCAAGGTGACTGGTGCTCACATGTGGTTGTTCTGGTCGACATGAACCCCGCTGAGGCGCAAAGGCATAGGCGGCGTAGAAGGCAAGATCTCTTTACTCTGTGTGATTTTCGCCTTGTTGGGCACCGCATGTGGGCTACGCACAGCCACGTTCCTTGCATTCACATCCCGACTCTTGCGGCACGCTTTGACATTTATGTCCCCAGAAACACCCGGCTTGCGGCCACTGGCGCCGAGAGGCAAGGTGATTTGCTCGGGTACCAGGATCACTGTGTTCTTGTCTTCTACCTTGAGCCATCCACGGATGAGGAAGACGATGACAGCTCTGAGGATGGTAGACCTGACAGGCGGCTAAGCGGGCAAATCCCCCCTAGGCAGGGCCAAGCACCAGGTCAGGCACCAGGTCAACAACGCACTCAACGACGTCAAGCTTGGCCTAACAGCAGTGTCGCAAGGCGGAGCCGCTCGCGCTCAGGCAGCAGGGAACACCCAACGTTGAAAGGAGCTACATCTTGCCCTGTAAGTGCCGATTTGGTTTACTTAAGCAGCAAGGATGAGTTTGTTCCCTGTCTCAGCCAACCCGCCCCGATGCTGAGCATGCCCGACAAGGAGACTCCCTGTGTCAGTTTCAAAGGTGGGATCAGCAGTTATGTCACCACGAGCAAGGGACGGGAAGGGCCGTATTTAGGGAGCGAATCAAATGCGGTCCGTCAGGTCGCTGAGGGCGGTGGCGAGATAGCCGACCTTGACAGGGCCACCCCGTACCAGGCACCTCACCCGGTGCACCATGCCCCGCTCGACGAAGTCGGAGCTATCGAAGAAGATGGCGTCAGTACGCCAGCCATGTGCTTGGTGTACGCTCCGGGATATGTGCCTGACATCATTTATGTGAACTTGCCCATCCCCTGCAGTGTAAGTCGCGCACTGGAGCACTGCAGCCGAGGCAGAGATCAAGGTCAGGCCGAATGTTTCGACCAGATCTTCCCAGCGATGCCACAGCCGTCATCGAAATTGGCTGTGATGGTCGCCCTCCCATCTTGGGTTACGGACCGTGTAGCCGTCTTGTTCAACTGCATCGCGGTCAACCAGACACTTTTCGCGGCTGCGGTCTTTGCCCGTATGAACAAGGCGTCCCTGATTTCGGCAGCAGGCCTCACGCGCAATGGTGCGCTGCAGGCCTATGGCGCCTTCGATGTTTACTTACATGGTCTGCTGCAGCCACTGGAAGACGACCTGTGGGTCGATATCCGGTCCGGCATGTCAGTCGTTTGTGTGCCTTCAGGACAATTCCCTGGGCGAGGCTGGGATTTGGCCGAAATGCTGCAGGATGCTGCGGAGTGGGAATCAGAACCGGAAATCCCAGGCCCACCGCCAAACTTGGGAGAACGTTTCTGGGTTCTGAGTGATGGCATCCCGTCACTCTTCAAAGTCCGGCCAGGGAGGAGACGCCATGTCAAGGAAGATGTCGCAAGAGCCCTGCAGTACTCCCAAGCCAACATGACCCTCAAGGCCACGGTGCCAAGGATCATAGATTATATGGGGTTAGGGTTCCCGACCTTTGCGGTTTTAGTCGCCACTGAAGTCCTTCAGACTGTTCCGTACCCACCGGCGCGAGCACCAGAAAGCCGCACTCTGATGGTTCTTGACTGCCGGGCGGTCCTGCAGGATTTCCGGTGGCAACTTCTGCCGCATCCAACGGTCTTGTTACAGAGGTTAGCCGACCAATTCTTCGAAACTTGCCCTCCCACGCATACTGTTGTGTTTCGGGGAGCAGACACCCGACTCACGGATGAAGGAACAGTCATCGATGTCACACAAGGGCAGGTCGTAAAGGTCGAATTTGTCGAGGAATCGGATGGTAGTTCTGGGGTCGACTTAGCCTCTGTAGGCCTCGAGTCTTTCGACGCTTTATCCGACGACAATATGGACCCTGTGGAGCCCCCAGTAAGCGAAGCTGCACCGGAGCCTCTGAGTCAGGTCCCGGACGACGAAGTGGCCCCAGCCACCGGAGGGGCGGCGCCCGACAGAAGCCGCTCCCCGCGAGGCAGCCAAGAAGCCGCCCCAGTCTTCAACGAGTGTACCTTCGCGTTGCTTTCACCGGGGTTTGCCATAGAAACGGTCTCTGTGCGAATGCGCCTACCCGCGACTATCCATCATGCTGCCAGGGCAATTCAGGCGAGCAGAGCGGCGGATGTCGCGTGTGCATTCCCCCTGCTTTTCCCGGCCAGATTCCAACCTGACCTCCGTTGGGGACTCTTCCTCGCTGCCCCCATTTGGAAATTCCGGGGTTCGATTGTCTGCATTGACATGTTCGCCCATTGGGGACGGGTTTTCGCTGTAATTCTGCCGGATGTCACCATCCGGTCGAGAGTTCTTATTGCGGCTGGCCTCTCCCCTGCTGCCGAAGTCGATATTTTTCTCAATGGAGACAACTCCGGCATTGGCGATGGTGACCTTGAGGTCAGAGATGGCGATTGCCTGTCCATATTTTGGCAGGGCAGCACAGTCCCGGGCTCGCTCACGCTGAGCGAGCTACTCACCACTGATTGGGTCTGTGGAGGTGCCCCTGCTTTTCATGTCAGCTCTGCTCATGATCACTATCTTCTGGTGAGCGCGAGCGCGACCCGCCTGTTTGCCCTAATGCCGCAGCGATCACAGTACTACCGAGCAGACATTGCGTCACGTGTGGACTGCGACCCGAGGGAGCTGTTACTCACTCCCAGTCAGCCGCAGGTAGGGAATGCCACCATGCATGGATTTTCTTGCCGGTCTGTCGTTGCCGCCTTGAAGGTAGGACACCTCCCGATGGGACAAGGCTTTTGTGTTTGCTTTCTTGACGCCAGAGCTCTTCTGCAAGATTGGCAAACAGCCCTTACACTGGACGGATGGTTGCATGCACCGACTGCCACTGCCGCGTTGGGAGTCGACCTGCCAGAAGGATGGGAGGCATGCATCGACGGTGTTCCCAAAGACCAAGAGTGGATCTCCTACACTGCAGGCACCGTTTTCAAGATCGCTGCCTGCCCTAACCATCTTCAACCCGGCCATTCGCCTGCGATTGGGGCCTTTGCGCAGTGCCTCCCCGACGACCCCTTCGCTTGCCTTCCAGAGGACGGCCGCGTGACCCCGGCAGTAGCGAGCAATGCACGGGAGCAAGGCGGTGCTGAGTGCACCACAGTCTTACCTGCCCAGACGTACATGCGGAGGTTTCTCTTTCAACAAGACACCCTTTCCACGGGTAGAGATGCCCCTGCCTCTGTTTCCCTGGCAGACAAGACGAGTGAGCCAGCTTTCCAGAAAGGAGGCCGTAGCGGAGTTCCACGCCGCGGGACTTCGAGGAAGTCTCCCAGCAAGCACGACCCCGTCAGGCTTCTCTGTTTTTGGATATGTGCGCTTGTGGTTGTCGCAGGCAGTTGGGGCCATGTCGTATCCCGGGACCAGGAAACAGGCACGGAGATTGGAGTCTCTGTTGGATTATGTAGTCTCTTTAGCACCGGGCACGGAGGGCACCATAGTGGTGCTGTGCTCCTCTGCCTCGCTGCAGTCTGTGTGCTCCCAGTGTCTGCAATGCATCTACCGCGTGTGTCCAGTCCTATAGCACATGGCTATCAAGGACAGCACGTTGGCTGCCGAGCGCGTGAGTTTGAAGGCCCGCACCCCATCGCCCTTGACATTGCGCGTATACCAACGCCCTGTCGTGCGTGGGGCGGGAGGCCAGTTCCGCAGGAGGACTTAACAGGCCTTTCCACACTCCTTGAGCAAAGCATCCAACAGCCGGATTGTGCGGCTATGTACCAAGCCGCCACTTTAGTTGAAACCCTTGAGGAGCATTTTGTGGCACGAAGGGTACCTCTCTCCCTCAATGAGCTGGTCGAGCCCCCACGTGCCCGGCCTATCATTGAATGGACCGTTGGCCTCCGTGCCGGCCCCCAGCCGTGTCAAGCTGAGGCCACACTTGGCTCCGACTTTGATAGGCCGCTGTCTTTCGGAGGCACCTCTCTGGGCTTCAGTCCTCGGCAACTGCATGCCCTCTTTCGCCCGGCTTTTCGCACTGCGCCGCTCGCGGAATGTGTCCGAGTGATGCCCCCCCGCATCCAAGATAAAATGCGGAGGCTTGTCCAGAGTGACGGCACGGAGTTTCCGGAGGGACTTGTGTGCTTCACAGACGGATCTTATACACCAGCATTGGGTCACAAGCCGGCGGAGATGGGATGGGCGTGTGTTTTTGTCAACAAGCATACCCGCACCTGTGACGTCATTGCTGGGCAGAGCCCTCCTTGGTGCCAAGGTGAAGATGCCGGGAAATCGGCCTTCAGAGCTGAATGTTGGGCTATGGTTGTTGCCTTGTGGCTTGGAATCTCCACGCAACAAGGTGGAGCCCTCAATATCTGTGCGGATTGTCAGGCGGCAATCGCGATTGCCCAAGGCAATGTAGCGGTCCAGGCGGGGGGCGTTGCTACCATCTTGGGCCATGTTGCAGGCTGCTGTAGGGATGCTGCACATGTTCAACCGAGATTTACCTATGTACCGGGGCATAAGGGAATTCTTGGCAATGAGCTGGCAGACCTTGCGGCTAAGTCAGCTGCAGCTGGCGCAAGCATTGGCAGCCTTTCTTGGCAGCATGTTAAAGATCCGGGGTGGTGGAAAGCGCATGGCATGCTCTGGTCCTGGGCCGGCATTGTATGTAGGTGGGCACGAGGGGACGATGCTCTACCATCCCCCTTTGCAACGGACATCAGCCGAGCGGGGCACTCTGGAGGCCTCTCGAATGAGGCAATGGTTGCCCCTTTCCTCCCTCCGGCAGGTACCGATGACGTGCAACAACGTACCGGCCGTCTCGATTTGGTGATTGCGTCGTACAATGCACTTTCCCTGGCAACAGGCAAGAAAGGTGAAGCCGAGGTTGGCCTTGCGTACCAGCCAGCACGCCCCGCGCTTTTAGCGCAGCAATTGTGTCAAGCCGGAGTTGCTGTCGCTGCCATCCAAGAAGCCCGAACGGAGGAAGGGCAGCTCTCTACCGGCGACTTTTTCAGGTTCAGCTCTGGTGCCCAAGCAGGACATTTTGGGGTTGAACTTTGGTTCCGCAAGCACCACCGTGTTGTGTCTTTCGCGGACCCCTCCAGGGCAGACATTACCTTTGAGCTGGCGTCCTTCATTGTGCTTTTCAAGGACCCGCGTCGGCTTGCGGTCCTCTTTAAGCAAGGCGTGCACCAGCTCGTTTTTGTCACGCTCCATGCCCCACACAGAGGGCACGACCCGGACAGGATTTCCTCTTGGTGGGCGGAGACTGAGGCCCTCCTATTCCGCGCTACCCGCGGCAGAGACTTGATAGTCGGGGCGGACTGTAACGCTAGTGTTGGTTCTGTTGAATCGGACAGTGTTTCGAGCTGCGGAGCGGAGGAGCAAGACCTCGCAGGCGAGATGCTCCACACCCTACTGCACAAATGCGGTCTGTGGGCCCCAGCAACATGGGCGAACGTTCAGCAAGGGCCTACTTGGACTTTTGCCCAAAGGAGGAACGGAGCCCTTGCGCGGCCCGACCTGGTCCTTTTACCCAATGCATGGGCGCAAGGTCGTATAGTCACATGGACCGCCCCCAGCATAACGGCGGGCAACATGGTCCTTGATCACCTCGCCACCCTGGCGAAAGTGGAGGTTCGCATCAGGTGCGGCGCGCCCAGTCACCCAAAGAGGCGAGCGGCCATTGATGTAGCAGCTTTGTCTGACCCCAGCCAGCGGTCGTGTCTCGAGCGCATCCTCGATTCGGCACCCAGGCCCAACTGGGGAACATCTGCGCACTCTCATGTGGCGCAGATCACGGCATACCTCCAAGAGGAGCTCAGCAAGGCTTTCCCAAGGAAGCCTAAGGCGCCGCTACACCCTTACCTCTCACAAGAGGCCTGGGACATGCAGCAACAGGTTGCCTGGCTCCGTCGTAAGTTAGCTACCGTTAGAGGGGCTCTAGCCAGGCATCTTCCAGTCTTGGAAAAGAGTTCGTGATGGACTGCACCCCCTGGAGGGACTGTCTAGCGCATGGCTTCGAGATGTGCAGGTCTCGGAGGCCCTGTATGGTTTCCGTCTAGGCGTGATGGCGCGAACTCTGAAGGCCCGGTGCAAGGCGGACCGAACTGCCTACACGGAACGTCTTGCTGACGACATTCAGGAAAACCGCCCGCAGGCCTATGAGGCCGTCAACGCACTCCTTTGCCGTCGCAGACGGAAGCCATTCGCCCCGGCGGTCTTACCGGGCGTTGAAGACAGCAAGGGTCAGCTCTGCGAGACCCCTGAAAAGACTATGGGCCGGTGGCGTGAGCACTTCAGCGCTCTTGAAGACGGCATCGAAGTGGATCGCAGCGAGTTGGTCTCGGAGGCTCTAAGGATCGAAGGTGCCAGCTGGCCGCAGCCGCCTTCGCTTGCCGCCATTCCGTCCCCCTTCGAGCTTCGCAATGCACTGCTTATTGCAAAGCGGGGTAAAGCTTCAGGTCCGGACTCCCTTCCAGGGGAGTTGGGCCTGTTATGCGCTGATGCTGTGCAGCGCCTTCTTTTCCCGCTGGTGTTGAAGTTAGGTTGCTAGGCGAGGAGGGAATCGGGCATAAGGCAGGGGCTCTCACTTGGCTTTGGAAAGGGAGGGGCTCTCATGCATCATGCTCCTCTTTCCGAGGCATTCTGCTTCTATCCACCTTATGCAAGGCTATTCACAGGGCGTTCAGGCCGCAGATTCAGCGCCACTTTGAAGCCCAGGCCTCGCCCCTGCAACTGGGGGGGCGCAAAGGCGGTTCAGTAGTCTTTGGTTCCCACGCAATGCGCACGTACATGCGTTGGAAAGCCAATTGCGGCCTCACGTCTGCCGTTCTTTTTGCGGATGTCTCCTCGGCGTACTACTCTACAGTGCGTGGGCTGGCCTCCCGCAACCCCGAGCATGAGCCGATGTGTCTGGACCAGGCCGGGGCGGCAGCCAGGGGGGGTTTAGTGGATGTTGAGGAAACCGCCTTGGACGAGCAGATGGCACAACCCTCGGCCTTGGCTCAGGCGGGTGCGCACCCATGGTTAAGAGCTTTGACAGCGGCCCTTAACTCCGGAACCTGGATGCATCTCCGCGGCGATGAGCAGCCGATTAAAACCCGGCGCGGCACACGCCCCGGTTCAGCGTGGGCCGATTTGACTTTCGGCGTCTTGATGAAAAGAATTATGGGCCTGCGTGACCGGTACCGTCAGACAACACCGGGGGCCAGCAGAGCGGCTTCCGTGCCGTGGGACGGTTCAAGGCACTGGGGCCCCCCTGGAGATATTGTCGCACATCCTCTGCTTGAGGACATCATATGGGCAGATGATGTGGCTGCTTGCTTGGAAGTGGCAGACGCATGCAGTGCAGCGCACACCGTTGGGGTGGAAGCAGGCCTGCTTGCAGATGCTTTCTCGATCCACGCTCTGGAGCTCTCTTTCGGTCCGCGCAAGACAGCGGCTATCATTAGCCCGAGGGGAGCTGGTGCGCGCACAGCCAGACGGCAGATCTACGGAGGGAAGCCTGAAATCCACATATGGCGCGAAGAAGCAGGTACCAATGTGCTTCCCGTGGTGGACTCCTACAAACATTTGGGGGTCCTTCAAGCGAGGGAGGGATCCATTCATCCCGAGCTGCAGCAACGCCGAGCGGCTGCTTGGACTGCTTTCAGAGAGGGGCGCACCAAGCTCTTCCGGTGCAGAAGGATTAGTCTGCGGCGTCGCGGCTCCCTGCTCAGCGCGCTTGTGCTCAGCAAGCTGTTCTTCGGAGCAGGAGCATGGCCGCCCTTGAAAGGAGGGGAGGCCAAAACGATAGCCGGGGCCACCTTCTCCTTGTATCGCGCTGCCCTGGGCATCAAGGCCAACGCGGACCAGCATATCTCTGTCGCCACTGCCTGTAGTTTGTTGGGGTTGCCAGATTGGTTTACGCAAATCCGAATCGAACAGCTCCGCTACCTCAATCAGCTGTGCAGGTATGCCCCAGACACGGTGTGGGCGCTTCTACGGAATGACGCTCCGTATATGGCTCTTCTGCGTGATGCACTCTCTTGGTTATATCGCAGGATCCGGGACACGTCGACTCTCCCAGACCCCTTGCTTGTTTGGCAGCCTTGGCTTGATGTCATACGTGACAGGCCAGGAGTCTTCCGTGGTATGATACAGCGCGCGAAGGGCTTGGAAATCTGCCGGGCCGCATGCTATGCCGCGTTGCAGGCAGTGCACAAGATTCTCCTGACACGGAGCGCCGGAGCAACAGAGGGTGGCGAACGAGCCGATGATGCTGTGTTTACCGATGCGTGCATCCTGTGCAAGAAAGCCTTTGTCTCCAGGGCAGCATGGGCATGTCATGCCTCAAAGCTCCATGGCTACAGGATCGCTGCGTCCATCTTAGCGGGGGCCGAGGGCGACACCTTGTGCAAGGCATGTGGGAAGGTTTTCGCGCGACCTGCGCGTCTTCGTCGGCACCTCTTGCACTCTGCCGCATGTCGCACTCGATGGGGCGCCTTCAAACCGGAGGGCGATCAGGTAATGCCCAAAGTCCATGACTGTCTCCCTCCTTTGACCATCGAAGGGATTATGCAAGAGTGTCATCAGGACCTCGATCCGGCTTCGTATAATCGGGGCTTGTATGAGGCCCTTGAAGCAATGGATGAGCCATCCCCAGAGGCTGCTTGGGTTACTGTGTGTGACTTTGTAGAGCCGCTGTGTGTGCTACGGGAGACAGTCCGACTCTGGGGTAGCAGCCCTAATGCCCCTGTAAACGTAGCGGAGATTGTGCAGGATGTCCTGCTCATGCTGGATCCTTACCTGATCGGCGACACCTTTTGCAGGCCAAAAGGGGAACACTCGATTGCAGATTGCTTTGCCGACCTCCCAGGCCCCCTGGATTCGGGGATGCCCTTCATCCTCACCGGACCTACCGCGTGCTTCTCCCTCGATAACCCGCCGTGCCCTGCCTACGCTTTTCCCTTCATCGGCGGTGCTCCTCTGTCTGGTGTCAAACGCCAGACCGCCTTTGTGGAAGCGGCTTGCGAATCGGTAGGAGCAATGGTGCACCAGGCGTGCTCTAGTAAGGTCCAGTTGCGGGCTTCGTACAGAACGCTGGCCTCGCTCGAACCCCTGCCGACATGGCTGCTGTCGATAGGATTCGTCGAATATGGCGAGGGCCTGCGTAGCCCAGACGACTAGTTTCACCTGAATTCATTTTCTTGCAATAGGCGCGACTTACGGTCTCTCAGCCTGTGGAATGAAATGTGTTGTGGTTGCCACCAGTTTGGCCCGATTAGGCTGGCAGGCCCCCCCTCCCCCAGCCACCATGCTCGAGCTTTGATCCTCCCAAGCAGATATTTCATGCTGCACTCTACCGAGAAGCCTTTTCAAGCGGTGGCCTGCCTGTGTCACTTGCTTGCGGCCACATTTCTCGGATCTTTCTTTGCTTTTGGAGCTTTTTTGTTGGCCTTGTTTTTTTGAAGCTATGGCGCTGTGGCCAGGGCTCCTTAGTTCGTGCAGTGGGGGGCGAGCGGCGAGACGGCTGTCAGGCTGTCCGACTCTCTTTGTCCCTCTTTCTCCGTGTTTTTTTGTGCCGGTTGCTGCTGTTGCTGTCTTGACTAGTTCTGATGGTGATTTGGCTATGCTGGTGCTCTCAATGAGATACTCTTTTGATGTCGGTGCTTAGCAGGCGACAGGAGAAACGGGGCCCAAGGCATGAGGACGAACGACGAGGCGATGGTGGCGGGTGAGGATAGACACGGATCGGCGATGCCAGCGGCGACGTGGGCAAATGGAGGTGAGGACGACGGATAAGGGTGAGGAGAGCAGTGAGAGCCGGAATGAGGTCGAGGATAGGAGTCAGAATGAGGGTGGAGATAATGGGGGAGGATCTTGAGGAGAACGGTGCCGAACCCCTGCTCCTGCAGGAGATGTTGAAGCACTTGCAAGCATCCTACAAGGACAGGGCCTCAGGCTTTGCAGATGATGTGGCACGTGCAATGATCGGTCCGGTGTTGCTTCTGCGCTGCCACACCCAGTCCATCGACCGCGAGTGCGAGTTGCAGGGCTACATCTGTGGGGTGCTGACTTCGCTTGCGGCCGGCTCAGAAGCCTCCGCCCACGTCGCCCCGTCTGCGGCCTGGTGGCTGATACGTCTGGCAGGTGTCGCGTCTCAGGCGCGTGGCGATGCGTGGTGCGTGGTGCGTCGCCGTGCAAGTCTTTCAACCGGAGCTCTGGACAGGGAGAAGGTCGCTATGGCGGCCAACCAGATCATGGAGGAGGCGCTGAAGGTGATCTCGGCCTATCAGCAGGCGTCGGGGGTGGCACATGTGGCACGCACGGCTCGGCGGAAAAATGGCGCGACGGCGACGGGGCCGAGGTTCGCGGGGGTGCGCAGGTTCTGCACGAGGAGGCCGGGGCCTGGGCCTGGGCCTGGACTGGAGAGCTGCGCAGTCCGCAGTCCTCCGCAGTGGCCGCAGTCCTCTCACCTTAGACAAAACCCCTTTCGCTCGCAGCGGGCAGGCTTTGCTTCTCATCGTAGCTCTGGCGAATGCGGCCGGCTCCAGCTTCGTTTCTTGGCTCTGTAGCCTGCTAAGGGCAGTAGGCCTATAGGGTGTGCTCAGGCTCGGGGTGTTTTTCATGTTGTGAACGTCGAAGCTCGGCGCCGAGGAGCGCTTTATGCCGCATTTCGCTCCTCACCTCCAGGCCACGACGTCACGAGAGACACGAGGTCAAAACGCAGCGCCTGTCCCTGTCTTTCTCGGGACTCCGCAGGTCGGACTTCAGAACTACGAGGAGGTGCAGGCGGATCCTGCCTTGCCATGTCAGCGCAACTGCCCAGTTCAAGAATCCGAGATCACAGTCCGTCTGGACACCTCTGCACGATGCGACATTTCCTTGACGCAAAACAAAAAGGCCCCAAAACCCAAGGGGGCGGGCGCGCGCGGGCGGCCGGCCAGTGGTCACGGAGCGTGGTGTTCCTGTTGGGGCCTCTCCCTCCTCCCTCCCTCTTTGCGGGGACGGAGCTCGGTCTCGGCGGAAGCGAGCGGCCGAAGCTCGGATTCGGAGATCATGAGAGCAATCGGAAGTCCTACTTCCGTTCCGCGTACTGTACGTGATACCCGGGTGGGCGATCCGTTGGTTTTCGATAGCTGGAAACCATTGTGCCGCAAAGCGTGTGAACCTGGGAGTCTAAATAACTTGTCCGAATAATGAATTTCAACACTGCTGGCCCCTGGAGAGATCGCTTGAGGACTCGTTTTCTCACGTCGTTGATAGGCAAAACAACGGTCTCAAGATCGACGAGATCGAACAATCCCATCGTCAGAAATTAAGTTGTCGAAAATCATCAACGTATCGCGATGACAACGACATAGAAATCAAGCAGACGTTGACAGTCGAAACCAAACGAAATTCCACACTCCGCGTTCAAGCCGCAGTGTTTATGAGGCGCGGCCAGTGGCAGTCGGATGCCTGTGGAGACCCTGCTCCGAACCGTCCCGCTGCGAGTGTTACTCGTTTGTGTTTCGGTTGTCACTTGTGATCCTGCTTGATTTGTTTAAGTTCCTGGCGCCGCGATTGTTGCACTTTTCGACTGTCCTCTGAGTGTTTGACTTTCGATCTCTTGTCATGATGTCATGATACGTAGAGACAGCCAGGATATGAAGGTCGGCGCAAGGCAAGGCGACGGGCAGTGGACATGTGTCGTCCAGCGCCAGAGCTCAGCCCGCCAAGGGAGCCTAAGCTCCGAAGCTCCGAAGCTTTAAAAGGCCGAAGGAACAGAACAGAAAACTCCGAGTGCCTGGCCCTGTCTTCGCAGAAGCGTTCTCATGCGGTACGGTTTCAGCAGATTCACCGTTTAACGCCCTGGCATGTCATCCTGATTGGTTTTTCTGGGAGGTTTGTCTGACGACCACCCGGATGGTCGGAGACCTGTGCACGGCGCTGGAGGGCAAGATCGTGAGCTATTGCGACACGATCTTGCAGGCTCACCCGGTTGCAGCCGATTTTGCGGGCATTCCATTCCGTTGCTTCCGTCGGCCGTGAGATCCTGTACACCAACCTCCGAAACCCGGCGGTGGACCGCAAGATCAAGGCCAGCAAGTGCAGACCAACAGCCATGGCTGTTCCTGTGGAACCGTGGCAGGCAGCCGTGATGACGAGCTTCGGTGACATTGCCATGGCCATCACTGGCGACTTCGAGCAGTGCTCGAAAGAGAGAGCAGCATGATGCACTCTGCATGTGCCGACCCCGCCTGTCTTTTTGGGAGAGGTACCTCGGCCCGGTGGTGCAGATGCTCCGGGAAGCCTCCTCCACGAGGCCCCGAGAAAGAGAGCCCTCCGTCGAGTGCCGCCGCCTCGAGTGCCGAAGCCGCCGATAGCTGCAGAGGTTGGCCGATGGTCCCGCCGACAGCGAAGAGTGGGTCGAGTGCATCTCCCGCGATTCGAGTGCCACAGACACGCGGGGGGGGGATCCGTCTTTTCTTTTTGTCAGGTACCTGAACAGCCTCCGAGAAGGAGTTCTGGAAGCGTGCGCCGGGGGGCATTGGGAAATGCAGGAGACTGGAAGTGTAGCAGACAGCTCCTCGCCGAAACGCAAGCTTTCATGCTATCGGCACTCCAGGTACTCCGGAATCATCCACGGGCTTAAAGAGTCCGGTAAGCTGCACCTCTTCAAGGCGCCTCTTCACGCAATGCTCCGGCTCCCGCAACAGATTTGGGGGGTCTCCTCTTCAATCGGCCGTGTCTACAACTGTCCTGAAACGCGGAGCTTCGGTCGGAATAAGAACAGAATATCATGTGCCCGACGAGAGGCAAAAACTAAGCACAGCAGCCAAGAGGCTTTCTGGTTTGCCACAACAGTTGCAAGAGTCAGATCGTTGCCTATCACAGCCGCTGCAGTCTTCGCACAAGCGAACTCCCATGCGTAGTACAGTCGGACTGCTGATGATGCTGCTGCTGCTGATGATGGGGATGAGGATGATTGGTAAGGGCGATATGATCCTGATTGTGATCAGGAGGATGTCATGACGAGAGATCAAAGTCGCGACACTTTCCTAGAAGCAGGATGCGACTGGACTCAGGAGCACGTCAACACGGTGCTGATGCTCGTCAAAGAGATCAGCGAGGATCCGACGACGCCCGGGGCCGTGATTGCAATCGGGAGATGTCGATCGGCTTCCACACCTCGCTGCTAGACCTAGACCTAGCTGCGCACCGAGGCAGCTGCCCGTGATCAAGGCCCGAAAAAACTCGGAAGACTCTTCCGGCGCGCCTCGTGGGCAATTTTTTCCACGCCTTTCAGGCGGCGGTGGGAGTGGTGGGCGACCTGGTCCTCGTCTTCCAAACCGAGCTGACGGCCTACGTGGGCAAAGCCCCGTTTCTCGTGCAGCTCGTTCAGGCAGCTTTGAGGCCAGGTACCGGATTTGGAGCTTTCGGCATGCCCGGACCCGTAGGCCGGGGCAGCGTCCGTGCACCTGCAGGAGCCAGGATCCAAAGCTGCTGCAGAGTGCGCAGTGGCTACAAGGCATGCTCATGAAGCTTCGGTCTCAGATTCCGCGAAGCCGCCGTAGTTCGATGTGAGGAGCCTTTGACCGTGCTTTTCAGGTTTGGTGGCCCCTGACACTTTCGTTTAACTCCGGTAGGGAAAGCTTACTGGAGCTTGGTCCTCATTGTGAAAAGCCAAGAGTTGTTGCTTGAATTATGCGCCAATCTCTGAAGCTTTCGGAGATCCTGTAGCGACTGGACTTTGTCCCAGACGCCGCCATCAGAGAAAAGGTGCTCGACGCAGCGATGCTCGCAAAGAAAGAACATGACCGCATCAACAATTGCGATGTTGGCGCAGAGGATGTGTGTTCAGCAAGGCTGATGCTCGAGCCACAGCATCCACAGCCACAGCGTAGCACCCCCTGTAGTCGATGTCGCGCAGCTCCAGATGCGATTCGCATTCATGAAGTCTTGCTGCCGTGTTACTCGTACCATCAGATTTGCAAAGATGTGCCGACACACGACCTTCACAACTCGACCCTTACGGATTCACAGCTCTGCAGCATTACAGGTGCTAAACCTCTTCGTCAGCGAAGCCTGAAGCTTACGACCGCGGGAGTTTCAGGGCCAGAAAGGGAAGGGTTTTCCTCCTCAGGGAAACTATAGTAATATAACTATAACAGCACTGTGTTAGTACTATAATCGTACCATAATGGTGGTGCTTTACATTATTGTTATTATGTTATATTATAGATTATAGGGCTATTTTAACAATAAAATTATGGTGCGATTATTGTAGTTGCATTTGATCGCATTCTTGTTAGGTCTCTGGAGGTGCTTGTAGCTTACTATCTCCTTTGCTAGTAGCTGGTCCGGCAACATCCGCTGTCACCGTAGTGTCACCTCGTCTGGGCTCTTGTCTAGGGTCGTTAAGTTCGGGCGTGGGTATCGGGTTGAGGGTCCCTGAACTTGCCTGAGAAGCTCGGATCGGCTCAAGGCGGCAAATACAGAATCCAGGATTCTGCAGCCAGGATGGCCAAAGTAGGCAAGACCGCCGATCTGTCGTTGTCGTCTGAGCATGATGAGAAAGCTGCCCTCATGCAGGTGCGGAGCTGCACTGGTCAACTTTGGCAGTCTTGAAATACGGAACTGAAGACGCCATCCAACATGCAAGGATGCTGGTTCGGCCAAAGCTACGGGCACGGTCATGGGAAGCCCGATTCAGTTGGGTTTCCCGCGTCTCGACGGATCTCGGCGGGCGATGTGCAATCTTCGGGCCTGTTCAGGGCTTTCTGCTGCCCAGGAATGCACAGTTTGTGATGGTCTTCCCGTATCCCGAAGGCAGCCGTGGCCCAGGACATTCGCCCTTCGTTTTTGCGAGACGCTCCTTTAACGCGCCAAGGCCATGATCCATCCGTGAAGCAGAGCTATCTGGAGCCTATGGAAGAACCGACGACGGCATGGGAGGCGCCTTGAGTGCTGTGTTTCCTGAGCAGGGTTTGTAAGTCGGTGAGCTGCAATAAGGCTGTGACCGGGTGGGGCTCGGTCGAAGATGAGACAAGCACGACTACGGCAGGACATCTTCCATGGACACGAGAGGCCTGCCGTTGTCAAGGATGGCATCTCCAAGCAGGACCGCTAGCACTGCCAGCACTGCCAGCTGCTTTGCCCCGTGGCCCGCGGCCTTTGCTCCTGATCCAAAGGATTTCATTGCGGCGGTGAAGGATGGAGTGATTGATGTCTTGGAAGGCTGTTGAGCGGTCAGTCACAAACCCTAAACCACTGACAGGTAGCTCACTCATCACCTGAGGTGATGGCTGCAACATTGTGGACTTCTTCTCTGTGGATGGTGACGAGCACTTCGTCACCATCTCGATCGAGGATCCCAAGACTTTGAGCATCCTCGCGGCGAAGCACGAGGTGCCCGGGAGTCCCGGAGCTCTGAACCCATGACCGTGAGTTCGTCTCGCTTTGGAGGCCAGAGCCAGGGTAAAGGCGGATGCTTACAGGAACGCCAAGAAGAAGGTCCCCACTGACCAGAAGATGGGCAAGGGCAAGGCAGGGGGCCGTTGGTCTGCGTTCCACGCGGAGATGTGTCAATGCCTCCATGCCTTAAACCCTACAAGGACTTTGACTTTACCCGTGTCGATTTCGACGAGCGACACCTCAATGGCGCGGCAATGGACAACACATGCACGGCCTTTGCTACCCAGTTGCAGTTGGCAGTGGCCAGGCATGATGCCTTTCGTTTCTGGAACATTCGACTAAGCAGCTCTTTGCCTACAATGGCCTACAAGATGGGACCGCAGCAGTCCTGCAACTTGCAACTTGCAGCCATCTTGTTTGCTACGCTTGCTACGCTTCAGCACGATGCTTACAGGCAGTAAGAGGCCAAAGGCCTTCATCTATCTGCAAGATGCCTCTGCGAAGACGAAGCTCACAAGCACAACAACAAGCACAGAAAGGGAGTTTTTTGGATGTTTGTTTTTTTTTGTTTTTTGTTTCAGGTGCGCTACGCGGAGGACATCAAGGAGAAGCTGGAGGATCTCAGCGAACCTGACAAGCTCCGAGTCGCCCGAAGGACCATCACGCAGCACCTCAGCCTGCCCGCGCTGGAGCAGGCCCAGCAAAAAGAGACGGGCCCAAAAAAGGTTTTGTCGTTCTCGGAGTCGGGAACCGAATGGAGAGACTCTCCAGATCTCCGATGTTCTGTGATGAAGTGAGCATGGTGCGTGTAAGCCACTGTTGAGGCGGAAGTCATGAGCAAGTTCTTCGCTGCGCACGATTGGGAGAAAGTTCAGGAGCTTTATGCCCGTGGTTGGAGCAACCCACTGAAGTTCTATAAATGGCCCAGTGGCCAAATGTCAGACTACCTTGCAACCTACTTTGGCATGCAAGTGGCGTACTTCTTCCATTTTTACAACTCATTCATGAAGAGCCTTGGCTTAGCAGAGCAACGTCTTCAATGGCTTGTGTAGTTTCGGGCAGTCCTCTCTGCAAGAGGCCCTGGCAGTGCAGCCCAGGTGGCTGTCGATCCCAGCGATTCTGAGTGTCGTCGTCGTGATCATCCGCCAGCTGAACGTCCTGAGCTTGTACCAGGCCAGGACACGACTGGGCTCCCCGACACGACTGAGATCCGATCCGGGCAGGTCCACCTGATGAACAGCGCCTTCGGGGCCGGGCTCTGCTTGTGGACGACGGCCTTCCTGGCCCCTTCCTGCTGCATTCTATTTTAACTCTACAAGAAAAGGAATCCACAATCCACTTACAATGAAGAGGAGTCGAAGTCGGATCTAGCCATGGGGTCCGGCAGGTGTTTCAGGCCATTGAGCAAGAAGAGATTGGATCACGGATTGCAGTAGAAGCTTTCGTTTGGCACCCAGGCAAGCTACAAGCAATCCATGGACTTCAAGACCTTGCACTGGGGCATGCAGGGCGCAAGCGCGGAAGTGGCTCAAGCGTCTCAGCTGGAGTAACCGAGGGGTCGCTACAGGTAGCTCTCGCTTCCTCGGACGTGCCTCGGAGGTGCGCAAGAGTTTCCGCGACGAGCTCCGCGGCACCTGCCGGGAGACGCTGCAAAACCTGTTCCACTGGGTCTTGTGCGTCCTCTTCATCGCGGAGACGATCGGGGCCGTCGCCTATTTGACGGATGCGCGAGGCCTGGCCAGGGAGAATCCGGAAGAGTCCACGATGGGACTCCCGAACACCGTCTTCGTGCTGGCCGCGAAGTCTCTCGGCCGTTGAAGGGTTCCGTCACATGCCATGCGGCAGCTTTATGAATCACTGTATGCATAGGTCGCCTGAGGTATCTTGTCACGGTCAACATCAAGGTTGTGGATTTCGCGTGGATGTCTCTTTCCCCTTGGTTGAGCGGACGCGAGAACTGGCGTCTCTTGCCTTGTTCGAGAGTGGGGCTGCTTCTGCCTTCTACCTGGACGTCGGAGCGCAAATCCTGAGGTACCGATGCGGAGCTCAAGTCGGCGATGACTCTGAAGATCTTCGCGGTGAAGTTCGTTGTCTTCTACTACCCCTTCGTCTACACCCTCTTCATCCAGCCCCACGTGGACGGCTGCGAGGTGGTGAAGGGCCTGGAGGATCGTCCGCTGCAAGGCCGGGCGGCCGGGCTCACAGGAGCGGCTCGGGACCCGGGACCCGTCTCCTATACTTCCTCCTGATCGGTCCCTTGTCGCGACAGGCTGTCTTCAGCAAGTGCGCTCCGACCTGGGCGTCTTCTTCATCACCCAGGCGCCCCCGACCGGAGCCCTTCTGGCCAGCGCTGCGGCCGTCTGCGCAGGTGATCTCCGAGGTGGTGGAGGTCGCAGTGTCCATCGCCATGATGTACCGGACCATCAAAGCGGAGATCTCCCGGAAGAGCGAAGGCATTCTGACGTGGATTGGAGTACTCTTTGAGGCTCTGCTCCCAGCCAGGCCGGCAGCACCTGAGCTACCTGGAGTTCCAGGCGCCCCAAGTTGCCGTGCTCCGCTGCTTCGACATACGCCTGCTCGAAGTCTTCAGGCGCTGGGGACTCCTTACACGGTGACGGATGAAGTCGCCGACTACATGGATGTGCCCTGGTCCTTTGGTGGGCGTTGACTCCAAGCCTCACGCTTCCCAGCTGAGGTGGTGTTCAACTTCGGCTTTATTGCCATGCCCGACGCTTCGAAGGGCACCGCTTTAAGCCCCCCGCCCCCTTTGCGGCGTCGCGCTGAGGTTCGGGGTGACGATGCCCCCCATGTGCATCCTCTGCTTCTTGGCCAGCTTCCCTTTGAAGAGGCTCTGCTCTCTCTCTCTCTCTGCTCTCTCTCTCTCTCTCTCTCTCTCTCTCTCTCTCTAGAACTTCTGGAGGAACAGCTGCAACTTGCCTGGGAGGCGGACCAACAGGGGGATAAGTCTTCCCT